ATGGTAACATTCACATAATGAACCCAAATTACATTATTACATAAGTGATAAAATGATCCTCTTTCCTTTTTAAGAACCGTCGGAGACCCTTGTCCCCATGACCAGACTGTTTATATTGATATAAAGTCAGGGGCCCTTGTCCCCATGACCAAAATGTTCATATTAATATAAAGTCAGAGGCCCTTGTCCCCATGACCAGAATGTTCATATTAATATAAAGTCAGAGGTTCTTGTTCCATGACCAGAGTGTCATATTGATATTAAGTCAGAGGCCCCTGTCCTCATGACCAGACTGTTCATATTGATATAAAGACAGAGGCCTTTGTCCTTATGACTCGGTAATTATTCCTGCAGGAAATAGTGACAAGCTCTCATGCAAAGCTACATTTACCATTATGAAGTCAGAGGCCCATGTCCCCATGACCCAGTGTCAAGTGTTAAATGCCATTACACGAATCATCTATAGCAACATATGTTAAGCTTCATATATATAGACAGATTAACTGAAAGAGGAATTCCTGTTCAAAACCTGCTGACCTTCGACTAAAAAGCTTTAAAGAAGTAAAGGGGTGAACTACCAATTTGTACTATTTGATCAGAGGCCCCTGACCCCATGATCAAATTGATCTACATATGAAGCACAGGAATTCTTATGTACTTCTTAAAAGCATCTGAATGCCATCTTCCCATTCGCTTGATTTTCTCCTCTGAAATCCCCATTGCTGCAGCACAGGTCGCAGCTCCTATTCGAAAACTGTGACCCTTATAATGACTCGTATTAAGCCCTGCCCATTTGAGGGACATTTGCAAAAAATTTGTAAAATGCTGTCTTAGTAATCCATCGCCATTTGGATATGCAAACAAAGGACCTGGTGACTGGCCTCTAAGTTTAAGAAATAGCTGAATAGCCTGAACAGGACAAAATTGATCATCAGATTCGTTTCTTTGAAGAATCAGTGTAGGGATGTGTTTGCCTGCACTATGTTTGAAATTATCCATTGTAATCTCGAGAGATTCACAAGAATTTAATATACCCGAGACGGGTTTTACATTTGCAAGTGTCAATACATTTTTACCGTCTGTAGAAGACGAGACTGTAATTTCCCCAACCCTTAAAAAGGCATGAAAAGCCAGCAAATACATTGCTCTTAACATACTACATTGATAGGCTGAAATGCCTAACTTGTCCAGAGAAGTCACCAGCTGTTTCAGAATTGACGTTGTTATGGGCAATCTTGTGTCACTTCCTATAGCCTTTAGCTTTTGATATCCCTGCAGCATTTTGCGAATCACAAATTGTTGTGATGGATCTTCAAAACCTTGAACTTTGAAATTATAACTAAGAGCCGAAATGTAAGTTTTCAAGGTTGATGCTGCGATATTACTTTGAAAACAAAAGGCAATAAAATGTGCCAAATGCTCAGTAGTAGGAGGCAGTAAAGAGACATTAGGGAAGTAGGTTGACATAAAGTCGGAATAAAAACCAAAAGTTTTTTCATAAGCTGCCCTTGAATTAGGAGCGAGGGAATTCTCCAGAATGGATGCTGCTATATCTGTCAGAGTGTTAGCATTGTTGGGTGAACTGCTGAAGGCACGGGGTCCATATTTGTACATAGGTCCTGAAACTCTCGGACCTGCAAGCGAGAAAGGCGATCAGCAGCTACATTTAGTACACCTGGGATATGTGTTGCTTTAAAAAGAATATTGTATTTTAATGTTTTAACTATAAAACGCCGCATTAACTTCATAATTATTGGGTCTGCTGAAGTTTGTTTGTTAATGATGTATACTACTGCAATATTATCTGAATAAAAATTAATACAGGAGTTCCGTAATTCAGATCCCCATAGTTCTAAAGTTATAACAATTGGAAGCATTTCTCTGACTGTTATGTGATATTGACACCACTCTTGTGGCCATTCCCCGAAGAACCACTTTGTTTTAAATGTACCCCCAAACCCTACGTCACTTGCATCCGTGAACATAGATAGGGTTTCAGAGGTTTCCCACCTTTCATCTAATATCAATGACCGACCATTAAAACTATTGATGAATATAGACCAAGCTTCAAGATCAGCCCTTGCTTCTTTGTTTAATCTCCGTTTGAAGTGGGGTAATTTTAAGCCTTTCGTAAGATCTATTAACCGTCTTAGAAAAGTGCGACCCGGTAGGACAGCAGCACAAGCAAAGTTCAGTAACCCAATCAAAGACTGTAATTCTTTCAAACTAACTCGTTTTCTGTGCTTAAACGCATCTAATGTATCCTTTAGCTTATCAAGTTTATCCCTTGGTAACCTAACTTCCATAGCCAGGGAGTCAACCTCTAGACCTAAAAATGTTATTGTTGTTGTGGGATACACTGTTTTCTCATCCTTGATTGGGATGCCGATATCATTACATAATTTAAGGAAGTTCTCTAAGGATTTCAAACAATTGTCAGAATGAGCTGGTCCCATAAAAAGAAAGTCATCCAAAACATGAACACAGTTAGACTGGTAATAGTATTCCATTATCCAATGCAATGAAGAACTAAATCTTTCAAATAGGTTGCATGAGTAACTTAGGCCCATTGGTAAGGTCTTGTCAAAATAAAACAACCCTCCCACACTAAAACCCAGTAACTCATGGTCTGACGGATGAACTGGAATGATTTTAAAAGCATTTTCAATATCTGTCTTTGCGAACAAAACTCCCCTACCAAGTTGTTTTAATAAATTAGTCGCATCATCGATGGTTTGATATTGTACCGAACAAATATCCTGCGGGATCCCATCATTAATAGATTGACCCTCAGGATAAGATAAATGATGTATAACTCTAAATTCCCCTTCTTGTTTTTTGGGTACTAAACCTAATGGCGAACACTGAAAGTTTTTGAAAGGAGCATTTTTGAAAGGTCCGGCTGCTCGACCACAACCAACCTCTTTATTTATCTTATCTTGAAGAATTGATGAATTTTGATCAGCTGATTTTAAGTTTTTGCAAAACCTCTGCTCACGAACACCTTGAAAGGGAATTTTAAAACCCTCTTTAAAGCCATCAACTAAAAATTTTCTGTCACTATTATTGTATTCCGAGAGCCAATGTTGTAACCGTTGAGGATTCACAGGGGTAACTATATCAAAGTGTTTATTTTGTAAGTTTAAGGGCTGACTGCTTAATTTCTGATGTTCCGGTTTGGAAGGTTGATTTTTGCTTATTTTTGTTTGCTGCATTGGGGAGTTTTGGGATTGATGGACAAGTTTTTCTACTGTGATCTCCGCCACAGCGTTGGCATGTGTGGGAGAATCTACAGTCTTTTCTAGAACAAATTCCTTGTTCGGAGTTATTGTAGTTGTAACAAACGAGTTTATTGCTACCCGCCTTCCCCTTGTTACCCTGGAAGGGACGAAAACTAGATTTTTGTGCTACTCCTTTTAACTTTGATTGCAAACCAGATGCTAATGCTTCTTGATACAATTCTAAGTTTAACTGGTCCCATGGGAGTTTAGCTGGAGATATCTCTCTCCATTGCCGGAACGTTTTATCGTACTGAATAGCTGCTAACGCAGTAGACTGGTCAGCAAGCTTTTGAACAGTCATTGCGTATTTCATTAGTTTTGTGACATCATTTGTATGCCTCTCGCAGAAAATACCTACAAAAATGTGAAAAGCTTTCAACCATTGAGAAATAGATTCAATTTTGAGAGGAGTTGATTTTTCTTTAACAAATGTTAGCCCATTGTCACCTTCTTCAATTGAAAATTTTACTTCTTTTTCGCTTGGTTTTAGTAAAGTACCAAAGTCGACATATTCATTTGCCCATATTTTAGATTTAACTTTTGAATCAATTCCCAGGGCTAGAGGCTTTGTAATACTCTCGGGTACGTCATGGGAGGTGCGGTAAGAATTACCCAAATTTACAGTGGGTTCCGCAGCATTGACAGTTGCAGCTTCCTTCTCCTGCGTTGTAGCGCTGCCCGTCTGTTGTTGTCTGGAAAGTTCATCAATCACTGCCTTTGTAATACTAGGAATAGCTGCTTGAATGACGCTTTGGATTTTATCCTCAAAGCAGTCTTTGGACATTGCAGTTTGTTTTGGCGGAGGTTCAACTGACTCACTAGATTCTGTTGTCCTTCTCCGCTTTTTCTGCTTAGGAGGCATTTTCACTACCTTGAATAAAAATACAATACTTAAGTCATATCATACAAATGACATGCTAGTTGTAAACTCAAACCAACTCCCACTCAGGATTCCTCGCCTGATTACGATACGCTTATTCTGGCACAATATAAATGTACCAAGCTCTCGTGTTAACCTGGCGATTAATAATGCCTGGTAAGAAGATGAATGAGTGCCACATACATGTCTATACTAATAGTCATAAAAGAAAGCACCTGTATTCCATTAAATTACAGCAGAGTTAACATATCACCACTCATTAAGCATATGTACAAGTGCTTGAGTAACTCAATTCATATTTGTATCAGAACCAGCGTACATTTTCATTTTGCCCGAACATAAAACATCATACACGTACGGTCATACAAATGCATACTTTATGTGCCATAGCACATTCCAAAACGTACGTGAAACATCATATGAGATGCATTAGTGTCAGCTCACTGTGCAAACTCATTGCTTCGGGAATGTACGTTTACGACTGTGCCAGCTCACAGTCTACTGGAACTGATACTAAATCATATGTTACCACTTGTAACAGTACAGGGTTTAATTAAACATATATTTCTCATGCAATGTTTTATGACATATCGTAGAAGTGATATCTCACGTACAATATACAATTATTTAACGCAGTCATACTGATTGTCATTCATGATTTAAAAAGAAAACCAGTGTCTGCTAACCGTATAGATAAGTTTAAGCATTACATACTATAATTCATAATTTTTGTATGAGATCATGGAGATATTAAATAAACTTATCTTCTTGTAGTTGGAAATGAACCTGAACGAAAATGTGCTGCTAAAGTTGACATTGATTTCCATTTTACCCAATCCTTAATATTGACGAGCATATTTTAAACATTGGATTATCGCCCCACGTAAGTTTCTGTAGTAAATTGGCATTCCCCATTCATTGTTCAGATGAACTCCATCACAAAAGACTGTGCGCTCGCTGTTTTTGACACCTTTTAGATTCCAGTACTGCAAGAAGTCTTTACCCACCAGCTCCCTCTTCAAGGCTTTATTGAATTTTATGACTAATTCATTATAAATAGTTATATCTAAAAACCGTGTTCGATATCTCGGCATCAGCTGGCAAATAACAGTCTTTTTAATTTTAAATCGACTGGTAAATGTTTCCGCAATACAACAAAGACGTAAACATAATTCGTAAGCGTATGCCTCATCTGCTGTTGCTGTGTCCAAATCGTTACCGCCTAAATGTAAAATGAGAAAATCTGGAGAAACGTGCCTAAGTTTTTGTTCTAAAGCTTCCAAGTGACAATTATTTGTAAGCTTTCCTCCGCTCATACCATAAAATGTAACACAAACATTTGGATTTAAATGTAAGTTCCGAAATTCTTGCTTTTGATTCACAAACTGCTCAAATCTTTTAACATGTGAACTTCCAGCAATCAAAACCGACGCCATTTTGAATGTTTACCGCAATGCATTTTGGATGCTGGGGAATATATAAATAGCCACAAAGTTTACTGGGTCACTCATGGTTCTCAGACCGGCAAACTGGCGCGAAGCAAAACAAAGGAATTCAAGTCAACATACGTGCGCATTAACAAATTTCCTTCAATTTCAGGTCCATTGTAATTTCCATGATATTCGCATGAAAAATAGGTGTTCATAGAAATGTATCTACGTTTTCGTCAGTCAAACACAAAAAGCATCAGATTTCAAAGCATACAGAGAAGCAGCCCAAAGAATCTCATCAAGGCACATATAAAGGATAATCCAACAAAATAACATAAATAAGGAATTCGTTGTACAGATTTGAGCTTCGTACCTGCGATAATAATGGGTTGAATATCCCACAATAAAAAAGAAAAACAAATCAAGATGACTGGCGAATGTATGTTGACGAGGCAATGCACGCTGGAAGAATGAAGGCGTGCGCAAAATTAGAGCATCTGGTCAGTTGCTGATAAGAAATTATCAGGTTACAAGAATGTAAATTGAACGAAGAGAGGAATCAGAGTTGTTCTTCTTGCCATGTCAGATGTTTTACATAAATTAATTTAATGCTGTAAATTAAGATTTAAGGGAAATGACACTAGAATTTATATTTTTTCTTGACCAGAACCACGAAGAGGAAGAGCTTGCTACCAAAAATAATTTTTCCATTTACCCCATTTCCTTGTTTCTGCAAATTCGAAATAAAAATTTCAATTTTTTTTGTCACCCTCAAGCTTCCATTTTATAGCCTAGGTCATGCAAGTCGTTTGAACCCCCCCCCCCCACCCCCCCCCACACACACACACTCAAACGTTTGGTCTGAGACCAACGATGCGGCAAAGGTGTAGGTGACCTAGACTACTATTCTTTCTAACATGATAAAACACACACGATAAGATATGATTAGATATGATATAATAGAAATGGTTATTATAATACATTTGAGGCATTTATAGCTCGACAGCTTTTAGTTAAAGGCAATTACGTTGACTAAAAAGAAAATGAAAGGGTATAAGTTTTTATTTTTTGGAATAATAATAATATTGTAGAAAATGTATTTAATTAGTTTTAGATATACAATATAGTATATCAGATCGAGAACATTTACAGGGGTATGTAAAACACAATATATATGTATGCATATGATATTTAATCATCAACAAACAGCGTTACTGTATAGGGGATATAACTCTGCGTTAATTTTGGCCGTAGTCTTGCTCTCAGTAAAGACACCAATTCAAAAAACAATAATTGATTTTTTTTATGTTTTAAGATAAAGTTATACACTTTGAAGATAAATTGAAACATTCAACTTAAAAACCCACGATTTACATGTAGTACTGAGGGCAAATATAAGCGAAACCATTCTCCCATGAATTTAAGAGAACTGGGTTTTTAAACAATTTTATCTTTCTGGAAAAGAAGAGTTCTGCTTTAAAATATAGAATATTGCATTGAATAAAAAAGCTGGAACATGTGCACGTGGGTTATTTTTTAAATAAATGATATCCTATAATTAGAAAAATCATATTAATTTTCATATTTTTCGTTGGATCTGTTGGATCACTTATTGATTAGTCAGACTCCTATACAATATGTATTTCCTATTTTTTTTTTCATATTTTTATTATTCGTATAAAACGTTTAAACCGTATATTTTTTTCATTCAATCAAATTACAAATCACAAAAAAGACAACCTAGAAATTTTGTTAGAACAATTTTATTGAGCAAATTTTAGTACTAATTCAGGTGCAGATTTTGTCAAAAGAAATTTATTTATACGGAAATTTAAAACAAAGAACTTTGTCAACTACGTTGTGCATTCTCAATTGCATTATTCAAAAAATCCCGAAAGACGTGATTAGTATCATTTTCCTAAATTATCGAGGAAATAGTTTTCCGGAAGTCTAACCTATATTACAGTTCTTTTATGAGCTTTTTGTCAAGTTCATGCAAATGATGAAGAGTTACTTCGATATAATTACCTAGGTACACTGCTGAAAAAGTGAACTACTAAGTACCATGGTGTTTCATATTTAAGACATCTGTCTCTTCTAACAGCATCATTTGGACATTTCTGAGTTTAAACTTGATTTTGTTTTTCATTTTGAATATTCAAAAGAAGATCAAGACGTTAAAAAGAGCAAAATAAAAAAATGGTCGTTTACCTACAATTACATATTACGATTAACAAGGTCGTTTTCAAATCCCTTTTCATAATTGTTACATTATATAGAAAATATGCCTTTCCAATTAAAAAAAATCCGAAAACAATCCAGATATCAATGTAATGAGACCAGATGTTCGGTAATTTTCACAAATGACATATGAACGCATATTTTAAACATTAAAGATGTTGAACAAAATAATTTTTTCTAAAGGCAGATCAAGAGTCAATTTCTAGGTGAAAGGGTTAAGCCTTGTACTATATAAAATATCTATAAACATGCTAGATATTAAAGTCCAGATGTAATGGTATAGGGCAAAATTGACATTTTTCTCGAAAGTAGGTCAAGGTCAAAGATGTCTAAGCCTGCAAATTTTCTATATGTAAAAATACATTAATGTGCTTTGTCCTTAAAGCTTAATTTCAATCATTCAAAGGACTGTGTGAAAAAAATTAAAGTAGTTTAAAGGTGAAGTTCAAGGTTTTAATGTCTCTTAGCAGCTTAATATCGAAGTTGACCCCTAATGTTTCAAAAGGTGTCTCAAATATTGTCATACTGTACATTGTGAATTTATTGCATGACAGTAATTAGTCGTAATATTATGAAATTCTAATAAAACTTTCATCCGGTAATTTCAAAATTACCAATGTGACTGTACGAGAAACGTCAAGTTTAAAGACACACAGTGCGTAGACTAGCACCTAATGGACGGTCTAGTATTATATTGGGTTATTGAACTTACATTAGTGAATATTGGCACAAATTGGCTGTACAAATGCATGTTTGCGAGTGCATTTGTACAGCCAATGAGTGACAAAAGTTCAATAACTGCTTTATTATAAGGCCAAAATATTTCCCCATTGGTTTATATTAACGATTTTAATGAAATAACTCAAAATTAATGAAAAATATTTAGTAACAGTGTTCAGATTAAAACTGTGCAATATCAGCGTCTGTCCTGTAAGTGTTTAACATTTCAATGACCCTACAAAGACTTATGATTTGCTTATTGAGGTTTTTATTAAGGCTTACAGGTACTAAATTATGAATTAATAATTTCAATTTTTTGTGAAAATAGACACATCTTACCTAGCCTAGCTGTATAACAACTTATCACATCATCATAAATATTGCCGTTGAACGGTTGACTAGAAGACATTTACAATGGGACGTTCGAAAATGTTTTATCTGAGGGGTATGGATTTGCCATTCTTACACTGTAAGTACTGTTTTTTGTTGCATATTTAAATTCCATTTATTTTCCTTCTGAAAACTAAAATTTCATTTATCAATACAGAGAAAACGTTATATCAGGGTCATGATAAGTGACATCACTGTGCAGCAATCCATAGGTAGATTCAAATTCAAATTTCGTATCAGGTTTGGCCACAATCGGTTATCAAGGTTTTAACAGGGAATATATAGGAAAAATGTTTTCAAAATCTTGTTCCAAGCAGGGACGTAATTAATGATATTCAAAAGCAAACATCTTCAGGTAATGCTGATCCAAATGTGTTCAAACCTTCGCCCCGGGGATGATTTGGCTAATTAATAATAGAAGATCAAAGTTTATTGGAAAATTTACGAAAAAAATGTTTTTAAAATCTCTTCAGTAATCACTGGGCCATGATTAGTGGTATTGTGATACTGCTATGTAAGTATCTTCAAACAATGCAGATTCTAGTTTGTTCAAATCATGGCCCCAGGGTTATTGTGGGGCCACAATAGAAAACCAAGATTTAGAAAATCAAAAATGTGTTGATTCAGATGTAGTGTAGATTCAAATTTGGTCATAACATGGCCTCTGTCGGTAGAGTCGGACCACAATAGAAGATCAAGGTTTTACAGACTTTTCCTGGGAACATAGTGGAAAAAAGCCAAAGGATTCAATTGAGCATTGTGTCCCATGGGCTTCCTGTTGGCATTGCCCTGAATCAAAAGTAGAATGAGTTGCAAATACATTCTTATCCTTGTTCGATTGTTAACTCATTATTTATTTTGTATCGCAAATGGTGAGGTCAAAATGACTCATATCCTAATTGCAAGATGATACTGATATGAACATATTCATGGAATCGACATAACATGAAATGAAAGTATTAATTTTGAAAATTTTCCATGTTAGATTTTGGTCTCTTATCTTGGCCCTACATTAGCCAAAGGGGCCTTAAACAAAAATTTAATCTTTGCTACGTGGAATGTTTGCATATTAATTTGACTCTTTGAGGTCATCTTTGCTTTAAAGACCTGTTGTTGTATGATTCTGTATAAAACTCGCATCCTTATCCTGTCCGGGGTCATGCTTTGAACGAATTTGAATCTTTACCACATGGGGCTACTTGAATATTTATCTGTCTTCAATACTTAGGAAGAATATTTTGAAAGACGTTTTCCTATATATACATGTACATTGCATCCACATTAATTAAATATGCTCCCTTGCCCCTTAGCCCCAGTAGCTAAAACCTAAACAACGCCACGCCTACCATGAGGTCTTGAGGAAAGAATTTTCAAGTCACTGAACGATTTTTAAGACCATGGAACATTTTAAAACTCGCAAGATTGGCAATATGCAGCCTCCGTCATTTCCGTCTGTTACAGTCAAAACATTTGATGATAGACGATGAAATGGGCGGATACTGTTCGACACGGACGTCTGAGAAAACATTGGATTGAAATCCTATTTGGAAATTCATTTTCAAACCACCCCGGAAGAACATTGTTACTGATTGATCAAGAGGACAAAAGAAATAAAAAGAGCAAGACCATTTGATTCTTGTTTGGGGGGGGGGGGT